GTGGCGCAGCAGTTAGTGACGAATCGATGCAGCGGCCCGCAGGGCTGCTGCTGGAGAACTCAGCTGGAGAACGCCACTGTGTTACTCGGCTGGAGAACGCCACTGTGTTACTCGGCTGGGGAACGCCACTGTGTTACTCAGCTGGAGAACGCCACTGTGTTACTCGGCTGGAGAACGCCACTGTGTTACTCGGCTGGGGAACGCCACTGTGTTACTCAGCTGGAGAACGCCACTGTGTTACTCAGCTGGAGAACGCCACTGTGTTACTCGGCTGGAGAACGCCACTGTGTTACTCGGCTGGGGAACGCCACTGTGTTACTCGGCTGGGGAACGCCACTGTGTTACTCAGCTGGGGAACGCCACTGTGTTACTCGGCTGGAGAACGCCACTGTGTTACTCAGCTGGAGAACGCCACTGTGTTACTCGGCTGGGGAACGCCACTGTGTTACTCAGCTGGAGAACGCCACTGTGTTACTCGGCTGGAGAACGCCACTGTGTTACTCAGCTGGAGAACGCTGCTAAAGAGTGCTGCGTAACTCGCTGCCGGAGAATACCTCCACTGGTAAACGCAGGTGGAGAATGATTCCGGAGAACACTGATGAACAAAGTACCCGGAGGATGAAGACGGCTGGAGAATGCTAACTGTGCTGTTCAACGCAGCTGGAAGACCGGTGGAAGTGGCCGAAATTCTAGACGCGTTTTGAGCTCCAGAGTCCCAAGGCAGGTCTCGAACCAAACTTGTGACCCGACCTATGGATTGCTCTCCAGACGAGGAATGCATTGGTGGGGTCACACGTTCGGTTCCAGTCCTTTCGGGCGACTCAAGAGCTCAAAACACGTCTAGAATTTCAGCCGCCTCCAGCGGTCGCCTCCACTGTGCGCTGGCTGGCGACAGAGTATCCAGCCGGCGCCGCCCCCTTTTTCTCCGACTCCAGCACTCGCTCCAGCCGCCCCAGGCGGCGGGGCGCGATCTCGCGACGCTGCGTCATCAGTCGCCGTGTAAGTCGAGAACGGCCTCTGCTTTACGGCGCACTTGACGGCCTGCTGCAAACGACACCGCACGACGCACAGTGGGCCAGAAGACCGGTGGAGGCGGCCAAAACTCCGGACGCGTTTTGAGCTCCAGAGTCGCTAAACAGGACTCGAAGCGAACGTGTGACCCCATCAATCCATTGATGGGGTCACACGTTCGGCTCTAGCCCCATTTAGTGACTCTGGAGCTCAAAACGCGTCTGGAGTTTCGGCCGCCTCCACCGGTCTTCTGGCCCACTGTGCGACGCCCTGCCTCATGGCCCTGCACTGTGAGTCGCCGGGTCGCCGACGCGGAAGTGACGTGACAATACGGGCCGCATGCGGCGCGGAAGGGGCGCATGCCGCGGTATGGATTTCCGTTGGCGCCGTATCTCTGTGTATCGGCCGGATGGGGGCGCAGCCACGGCACAGCGCACCAGCGTGGCGGCAGCCAAAAAAATAAACAACAACAACAATACACACGTGAAAAAAAAGCCGCACTGCATGAATCCTGTGCTGTTGCGGAGTCGTGAAATGGTGACAAATAATTCGGATTGCTCGGAGTGCGCCGCGTTCCCACGGGGCTGTGATAACCGTGAGCACCTCGCCGCCCGCCCGTAGGGGCGTACACTCTAAAGCGAAAGGCGGTGATATTCTCACTCGTTACTGGCGATTGTTTTGTATTGGCGCAGATTTTACCGCCAATAGAAAGTCTGTGTTGAAATTACCACCCTTTCAGATCAATTTGTACCGCACTTGGAGAGCTATCGCCCCTTTTGTGCCATAATTGGCGGCAATACCTCCAATGCTCCTTCCTCTGCCACACTGTGTGCCACCGGTAGATTTGGAGTGTAGTGGAGCCGGCAGAGCCAGAGCAGGGCGTTGAGCGAAATAGAGTCCAAGTAGGCGGGGCTGCTGCCGCTGCCGCCGCTCGGCTCGTTCCTCACATTCGCGATACCCCCTCCCTCCCTTCCTCACCTCATCCTTTGCCTGGATGTCGTAAGAAAATGCAATTCTCGTGCGAAAGCAATATGTCTGCCGCATCCGGCCCGCCCCACCCCCGCCCCTCTGGCGCTGCGTGGGAATCTGCGAGTCTGCTGTGTCAACTCCGACGCCGTGCGCGCCGCGCCTCCCCGCCGCCATGAGAGCACTGAGCTCGCCGACGACGCCGACGACTTCGTCTCCCAGAACATGATGAGCCGGCCGGTGTTTTCTCAACCCCCTCCCCTCCCTCAGGCCGGCTCTGGGCCCGCCACTGCAGGACGAAGCGCGGTACGGCGGCGCAAAGTTTGCGCGGCCCAACACGCACGCGGACAACACGTCGCGTGACGCGGGCGTGTATTCGCAGCCCCAGAGCCCTTTTGTGGGACGGGGATGGCCGGGACGTGGAGGCTGCCAGCATGCTGCCAGCGCGGCGGACGGGGCGGCCGGCCCCGCCAACCCCAGCGCCAGCACCGCCAGCAGCGCGCAAAAGTCGTATAAGAGACTTGCACAACTTTTATACGCCGTCTTTTATGAGGCGGAGGAGGCTGCTGCAGGCGCTGCGGGGCGTGGCCGCCGTGTCCGCGTGGCCGCAGGGGCTGGCCGACGTCGACCTGGCTGGCGGGGCTGGCGGGGCTGGCGGGGCTGGCGGGGCTGGCGGGGCTGGCCGAGCACTCCACTCGGGCGATGGGAGGTGCCCGAGGTGGCACTGATCAGATAAGCGCTTGCGGCCAGAGGGGGCTGGTCTAGCCGGACGGACGGCGCAGGGGGTGCAGGGGGCGCTCTTCGGCGTTTATCAATCTTTTGTCGAGGCCGTGCCTCAGCTTCACCTGCCGAGCGATTCAGAAGAGTCGCTCTGTCTCTGTCGCACTAATGGGGCTCTCCGTAGGGGTGCGAGAGACAGAGCGACAGTGGGCCCTCCCGGTCGCATGGCTCGGCGGTACGTACTCCACCGCCATCGAGGGCCACAGCGTGACGCGCGGCGGCGGCAACGGGATCCCTCGTGGTGGCCAAGCATGCGTGCGCGGTGCGCGGTGTGGCGCAATGTTGGCGGCATCTGACTTCCTCCTCGGCGTCTCTAAGCGGCTCGAATCGTTCCAGAGCAGCAGCCGAACTCAAACACACTCCCCCTCCCCCAATCCCTCTCCACGCCGCGCCTCGCCCGCGCCGCTTACTTGTCGAGCACTTTGATGTTTGTTTGGCGTGGTTCGGACGGCCGGGCAGAGACGGCGAAAGAGGGGGAAGTCCTTTTCAAGGAACGAACCAACACGTGTGTCCGCCACTCACGGACACGTGTGCGTGTGTCCGCGTGCGCGTGTGTTGGTGTTTGGCGCCTAAAAGCGGAAACGGGGGCCGGTTGGGGCGCGGCGCCTTGCAAGGCGAAGCAAGGCGCCGTCGAGCCAACTCGAGTGTGCCAGCTCATTGTGAAGCAGACAGTTATGACGAGTTTGCGGGGTAAATGCCCCGGCGTGCCTCGAGCGTCGTGCGCGCCTCCTCCGTGTCCGTAATAAGGCGAGTGTTTGCCTTCGCAGTGTCGCCATCATTCACGCAATCGGCGTTATTTTCGCCCCGGTCGATCATATTGCATCCGATTCCAGGGCAATTCGTCGCCGTCGCCCTGATTGGGCGCTCGCGCTCTCTCGTGTCGTCGCTCTGTCTCTCTCGCACCGCCACGGGACGCCACTCGAGTGCGAGAGAGACGGAGCGGCGATTCCCGGAATCGCGCGGCAGATGTCGCCAATTTCTTTCCGCGCGGCGTCGTCTCTCGCGGGCGGGAGTGGAGATGGCTGATGGAAGAATTCGATGAGTGCCGCGACGGCGTTCCCGGATCTCGGAAAGGGGAGGGGGTCCCATTGGCGACACCGCGCGCCGCCCGTCGTACACACGTGGAAACATTTTTTCATCAAGAGGGTGAGCACTGAGCGGGGCGAATAAAGAGAGACGCAGAAAGAGAGAGAGAGAGAGAGAAAAGCTGGTGCTGGCCAAGACCACCAGGACGTGATCAAAAGACGCTTGCCGAGCAAAGAGGGAGCGATCTCGGGAGAGCAGGGCCTTGCAGGTCTGGCGGGGCGCGCCGGGGCGACCGGGGCACGGCAGGACGGCGAAGTTGAGAGCCCACAGAGGGTTCAAAGTTCCACCTGGCGGTTCGGCGCCGCTCTCCCGGGGCTCCCCCGGCCTCCCCGCCCCCACGACGGCGACCAGCGCCGCCAGCCATTATACCGCCACGGCCATCCCCGCGGAGACTCGCAATAAAATCCCAGTGAAGTCGAGACGAGAACACACCGTTCGACCGCGGCGGCGCCAGCGCGCCAGCCAACTGCCGGCGAACGGCACTCGGACGGGACGCTCTGCCAACGTCCTGCTCCACGCCGCAGCCATTACCCGATACCTGGTCAAGCTGGGCGGGACGCACTTGTACCGCCCACTATCGGGCAGACTCCCCCACCACCCCGACCACCCCGACCACCCCGACGTGGTCCCGCAGCAAATGAAATGCGGCTAAGCGGGTCATTTAACATTGGTCACGGATTGCGCCCTTATAATGGTCAGGAGGGGGAGTTATAGGGCGAGCGTCCCTCCAGGGCGGCCGGGCCGGGCCAGACCGGGCGGAGCGAGGTGGGTCCACTATCAGACAAGGACGGAATCGTGCCGGCCGATGCCGTAAAGATCCCCCCCCCCTCCGTGGCCTCTATAAAGTCGGCTTAAGTAATCAAACGTGGAAAATGCCGCCAGCCGGACCGTGTCCTTGCCATCGTGGCCCCGGGCTTCGGCTTGGACGAGCGGAGGGCAAAGGGTGAAGCCCGGCAGAGCTTCTCTTCTCGTCGTCGTTTCTGGAACCTAACGGGTGACTCATTTTGCATTTTTTTTTAACAACGGGGAATGAGTAAGATTTCTGATGTGCTTGCCATTTTATCAAGGCGCCTTTGCCCCGCGATTGTGATGGAATGTGTTTTGTGCCACGAATGTGGGTGGTTTTTTGAAACCCGGTTTCTGTCTTCTGTTTGCAGAGAACCCGGACCCGTGCCGCGACAAGGTGTGCCAGGCAGGCGCTCGCTGCGTCGTGTCGCCGGACGGACTGTCGGCGTCCTGCGAGTGCCCGTCCAACTGCCACACCTTCGGGGAGCCCGTCTGCGGCACGGACCTGCAGGAGTACCCCGACCACTGCGAGCTCATGAAGACGGCCTGCGCGCACAGCAAGGACATCCGCGTCAAGTTCAAAGGACCCTGCGGTAAGTCCCCCCTCTCTCCTTTTTACCTCAGTCTGCTTGAAAATGGAACGGTTTCCTTTACGCGCGTCCCTTTCGTCACCGTCCTGGCGGCAAGCCTCACCTGCGGCGGTCCCTCGCCATGCCCCCCCCCCCCCCCCCGGGGGCCACGCAGCACGCAGGCCTCCTTACCCGGAGGTCAAACGATACATTAAACTTGTCGCCTTATGAAACTCCAGCAGCGTCGGCTTATCCGGCGGAGAGTAATCATCCATGCATGTATTCCCCCCCGGCCCGGCGGCGGCTTGCTGGCGGCGGCGGCTTGCTTGTGCTCCTCCAGGAGGAACTGAATCCGCGACGCCCTCCACCTGATCTCCGCCACCGCCGCCTCGGCACTCCTTACGTGTTTACGACTGGCTTGGCGAGGCGCGGCGCGTGCGGAGTGCGGCCATGGTGCGGCGCGTGGGGCGGCGCGTGGGGCGGCCCTGCTTTTGATGGTGGAGGCGATACCGCGATACCCCGGCCACACTCACTTTAGGGCGGCGGTGCGGCCGCGGGCCCTCCCCGGTCTGGGCCCTCCCCGGGCACCGCGACGACCACGGCCGGAAAAATAAAAAAAAAGGTCGATGTGACAAAATTCCCAGTCGGGTTGGAAAATTTGTGTACTCTGAAAAGTTTACACAAGCATCTGTTCCACGACAACGAATAAATCCTTTAAAAAATCTTAAAAATGTCCGTTGGAATGCCAATTATTTCTTCCTTATTTTACGTTGCCTTCATTTCTTTGGAAGTGACTCATGGTCAAGGGGAAATAACTGAGAATTTCGGTGTACAAATTCAATGAATTTCAGTCGAATTTCGATTAATTTCAGTCAAATTTTGATGAATTTCAGTCAAATTTTGATGAGTTTCAGTCGAATTTTGATGAATTTCTGTCGAATTTCGATGAATTTTAGTCAAATTACGATGAATTTTAGTAAATTTTACATGTTTGATAAATTTTGGTGTACATATTTGGCTGGAGTTATTTCCCCTTGCTCATGGTAGAATGTAGAATTTTCACTGTGTGTGTGATAATGATGTGCTGGTCCCTGCCCCGCAGACCCCTGCGCCGAGATGGAGTGCCCCGAGCCGGAGGTGTGCGCGCTGGGCGCGGACCGGCAGCCGGAGTGCCGCTGCGCCGAGGTGTGTCCGGACGACTTCGCGCCCGTGTGCGGCTCGGACGGCCGGACCTACGCCAACACGTGCCGGCTGCGGCGCGAGGGCTGCCGCACGCGCAGGGAGCTGCGCATCGTGTACCGCGGCCGCTGCACCACTGGCGAGAACCCGTGCGCCGGCCTGCTGCAGGGCCTGCAGGGCCTGCAGGGCCTGCAGGGCCAGGGCCACGCCGGGACGACGCCCTGCTCGCACGGCCAGGTCTGCAACGTGGGCCGCGACGGCGTGGCGCGCTGCGAGTGCCCGCCCGAGTGCGAGATGGTGGTGCGGCCCGTGTGCGGCTCGGACGGACGCACCTACGACTCGGCCTGCCACCTCACGCGGCAGGCGTGCCTCGCGCGCGCCAACGTCACCGTCGCCTACACCGGACCCTGCGGTGAGTACCGGGCTGAGCAGTGTGCCAGGCACATTAAGGCGCCCAAACATTACCCTTTTGTGTGCTTCGATGTTCGATGCCCCACGGGGAGTGTGCCACACTGAGTTCAGTTTGGAGAGTGTCTTGAGCTCGCCAGGCGCGGGTTCGAACCCCGACGAGACTGACTGGTTTCTTCTTCTTCGGCAGGCGTGGACGGCCCCTGCAGCGCGCACACCTGCACGTTCGGCGGCGAGTGCGTGCCGCGCAACGGCGCGCCGCGCTGCGTGTGCCCGCGCTGCCCGCTCACCTTCCAGCCCGTGTGCGGCTCGGACGGCGTGTCCTACGGCAACGAGTGCCGCCTGCGCCTGGAGGCGTGCCAGCGCCGCCTCGACATCCGCGTCGTGCACCAGGGCCTCTGCAGTAAGTGCGCCCAGTGCGCCGGACCGACCCCCGGCCGGAACTACCCCGCACCGCCGCGGGGGGTAGCGCTGTGCGAATACTCCTGTCTAACGCGCCACTGTCTTGCAGGCTGCGAGAACCGGTCGTGCGGGCCCCACGCCAAGTGCGAGACCGACGCGACGGGGGAGGGCCAGTGCGTGTGTCCGGACTGCAACGCTCCAGTGAGTACACTGTCAAACAATTCTTGGTTCCAAGTCGTTGGGGCGCGCTTTTAATGTGCACCCTTCCGGCAGGCTGAGCAAGTGCGCAGCCCGGTGTGCGGCAACGACGGCGTGACCTACGACAACGAGTGTGCCATGCGCCGCGAGGGCTGCAAGGAGGGCCGCAACGTGGCCGTGGCGTACCGCGGCGACTGCGGTGAGTGCGACGCCGAGCTCCAGTTCCTATTTCTATTTCTTCTATTTCTATTTCTTCTATTTCTATTTCTTCTATTTCTATTTCTTCTATTTCTATTTCTTCTATTTCTATTTCTTCTATTTCTATTTCTTCTATTTCTATTTCTTCTATTTCTATTTCTTCTATTTCTATTTCTTCTATTTCTATTTCTTCTATTTCTGTTTCTTCCATTTCTATTTCTTCCATTTCTATTTCTTCTATTTCTATTCGGAACGACGAATTGAGGTTTGTTTTCCCTTGGCAGACGCGTGCCGCGACGTGACGTGCCAGGAGGGCGCGCGCTGCGTGGAGGGCGTGTGCACGTGCGACCAGGACTGCGGCACGGGGGCGGCGGCAGGGCCGGGCGTCCCCGTCGGGGCCGTGGCCGTCCGGGAGGCGGTCTGCGGCTCGGACAGGGTCACCTACCCCAGCGAGTGCGACCTCAAGCGGACGTCCTGCCAGCGCCACCCGCTGCCCGCCATCACCGTCCTCTTCTACGGCGACTGCCTGGAGCGCTTCGGCGAGCACAGTGAGTCATTCATTCGTTCGTTCATTGAGCCGTAAGAGCGTCACATTGGTGATGTTGATGCACGTTGATGCACGTTGATGCAACCTGTAATCCGTTCCCGCCTTAGCCGCCACGGTGCCGCCGATGCAGACCAACTTCTCCTCCAAGATGATCGACGGGCACGCCGGTGGCAAGGGCGGCCCGCTGCTGCGCAAGGACGCCCAGCACGTGTCCGGCGGCGCGGTGGAGCGCGCCGAGGCCTGCAAGGACATCCGCTGCGACTACGACGCCACCTGCGAGCTCGGCGCCGACGGCTTCCCCCGCTGCTCCTGCGTGTTCGACTGCCTGTCGCCGGCCTGGCAGAACGCCGGGCCGCAGGGCCCCGTGTGCGCCTCCAACCAGCGCATGTTCCCTAGCCTGTGCGACATGAAGCGCGAGGGCTGCCAGCGGCAGGAGGAGCTTCGGCTGCGGCCCATGGACCTCTGCAAGGGTGAGCCCTTCTTCCAGAGTCGCGTCACCTGTAGCGCTGGCGGTCGTCTGCACTCGTGTTGTGTGTGTGCAGGCCTGGAGGTGAAGCCCTGCGGGGGACAGGCGACGCCGCTGCGGGACCCGGCGTCCGGCGGGGAGCTGGACTGCGGCGCCGGGCCGCAGAGGCAGGACTGCCCGCGAGGAGCCTACTGCCACCAGACGCCGCACTTCGCGCGCTGCTGCCCGAAGAGTGAGTACTGCACCGCCGGAGATACCCCCTGTCGGCACACAGCGCACCTCGCGCAGCGCGGAGTACTGACGCCTTTGCAATCCACAGCCGGGTCCTTCCTGCTGCACGAGTCCTGCGAGGAGGCCTGGTTCGGCTGCTGCCCGGACGGCCGGACGCTGGCCGAGGGCCCCGAGGGCGAGGGCTGCCCCAAGCTGTGCGGCTGCAACAAGCTGGGCGCCGTGAGCGACGCCTGCGACGCCGAGACGGACTCGTGCGTGTGCAAGACGGGCGTCGGTGGGCCCAAGTGCGACCGATGCGAGCCGGCCTACTGGGGCCTGCAGAAGGTCCGCGACCACGGCAACCCGTCCGTCGGATGCCTGCGTAAGTAGAGTGCGCGCCAGGGAGGCGAAGAGTGACTGGCCGCCGGTGCTGACGGCGTGGTGCTTGTTGCAGCGTGCCAGTGCCACAAGTGGGGCGCGGTGCGCGACGACTGCGAGCAGATGACGGGGAGGTGCGTCTGCCGGCCGGGCGTCCAGGGCGAGAAGTGCGAGGAGTGCGTGGCGCCCGGGCACGTCCTGTCGCCGGCGGGTTGTGGGCCGCGTAAGCTGTCATTACACACCTTTACAAACCTGGTCGAAACATGGTCAAACCTTGTCTGGGGCTCAACGGGTGCTTTCCCTTGCAGCGAGTCCGGGCAGCGCTGCGGGCAGCGTCGGCGGCCCCGCCACCGAGAGGCCTCTCAAGCGCTCCACGCTGCACCGCTTCACGGAGCCGGGCCCGGGCCCCGGTATGGGCGGCGGCGCATCCTACAAGTCCACGCGCCACCTGGGGCTGTCCGCGCCGCCGCCTCTGGACCCGCGCCACCCGCAGCACCGCTACTACTACTCGGCCAGCAACCGCAGCGGCGAGGTGGACGCGGACGTGGACCCCGACGTGGTGGACGCGGACGGCGCGCCCGACAGCCGCGAGGTGGACGTGATCCACTCGCTGGCGGCGTCCTCCAGCGACCTGCTCAACGGCACGGTGCCCGGCCCCGTGGACGAGGAGGGCGCCCCGCCGGGCTGGCTGCCCACGCCCGCACCGCCGCCCGCCGCCCCGCCCGCCCTGCTCGGCGACGCCTGCTCGTCGTCCTCGGACTGCGGCGTGCAGCACTCGCACTGCCTGCACGGCGAGTGTGCTTGCATCGAGCAGCCGCCCGGCAACAGCCGCAGCTACTGCCCATGTGAGTCGGAGCAACATTCAACTGAAAGTCGTGCTTTTTGTCTAGCTTTCGAGGTTAGAAGAGCGTTGACACACCTCCCCCTTCGTTTTGCAGCCCCAGCCAGCACGGCAGCCCCCACGTCGGCGTGCCTGTCCTCGCCATGCGAGCAGCGAGGCGCGGTGTGTGTGGAGGGCCCGCTGGACTCCTTCACCTGCCTGTGCCACGGCGAGCCCTGCGACGCGGCCAACGTCACGGGCATGTCCTTCGCGGGGGAGAGCTGGGTGCGGCTGCCTCGCCTCGAGGCCAGCCACGCGCTGTCCGTGGACGTCGAGTTCCTCAGCTTCTCCCCGGACGGCGTGCTGCTGTACTCGCAGCAGCAGGAGGACGGCTCCGGGGACTTCGTGTCGCTGGCGCTGGTGGGCGGCTACGTCGAGTTCCGCTACAACCTGGGCTCCGGCACGGTGGTGCTGCGGTCGGCGCAGCGCCTCTCGCTGCACGCGCCGCACCGCGTGTCCGCCAAGCGCTACCACCGCGACGGCATGCTGTCCGTGGACGACGCCGCCGACGTGACGGGCCAGTCGCAGGGCTCGCTGCGCGCGCTGGACCTGGGCCCGGCCGCCTGGGTGGGCGGCGTGCCCACCAACCACTCCAGGGTGTGGGAGAACATTGGCACCTCGCTGGGGCTGACGGGCTGCATCCGGCGCATGGCCGTGGGCCAGCGCCGCGTCGACACCGCCAGCGCCGTGGCCTCCTCGGCCGTAGGGCAGTGCGGCGGCGACCCCTGCTCCGCGCAGCCCTGCCGCCACGGCGGAGTCTGCCACTCGCTCAACGTGCTCAACGCCTTCAAGTGCGAGTGCCCGCTCAACTACACCGGTAAGTAAACCTCGGTCGTATTGCCCTCCTCCCCCTTACCGCTGTTCCTTTCCTGACTGTGTTTTCTGCGGCCCCGGCAGGACTGCTCTGCGAGGCCCCCGTCGACGCGTGCCTGGCCAGCCCCTGCTCCACGGGCTCCACCTGTGAATCGCTGCCCGCCGGCGGCTACAACTGCCGCTGCCTGCCTGGACGCCGCGGGAAGACGTGCCAAATCGGTGAGTCACGTGACTTTACAAACAAACGGCCGACGAACGGCCAGGTTGGAGCACCGCGATGACGCCCCTCTTCCCCGCAGCGGACGATCTGGAGCTGGAGCCGGCCGTGCCCGTGCTGGACGGCCAGAGCTTCGTGACGCTGCCGCGGCTGGAGGGCGTGGGCCGCGCCTTCTCGCTGGAGCTGTGGTTCCTGACGCGCACCCCGGACGCCGCGCTGCTCTACGACGGCCAGAGGCTCAACTCGGCGGGCCGCGGCGACTTCATCGCGCTCAGCCTGCACGCGGGCCGCGTCGACTTCCGCTTCGACCTGGGCAGCGGGCCTGCCAGGCTGGTGTGAGTAGCCCTGTGGACGATCGGTACATGTAACGGTGCGGGGCTGAACGCTAATCATTGATTGTGCCCAATAGTTCCGAGGAGATCGCCGAGCCGGGCGTGTGGCACTCGGTGCGCATCAGCAGGACCGACCGCGCCGGCACGCTGCAGCTCAACAACGGCACCCTCGTGCACGGACTGAGCGGCGCGCCCCTCAACGAGCTCAACCTGGACCTGCCGCTCTACCTCGGCGGCGTGCCGTACGTACAGAACCTTTGCACAGTGGGCCGGAAGACCGGAGGAGACGGCCAAAATTCTAGACGCGTTTTGAGCTCCAGAGTCGCTAAACAGGACTCGAACCGAACGTGTGACCCCACCAGTGGATTGCTCTCCAGATGAGAAATCCATTGGTGGGACGCTCGGTTCGAGTCCCGTTTAGCGACTCTGGAGCTGAAAACGTGTCCAAGACTTTGACCGCCTCCACCGGTCTTCTGGCCCACTGTACTCTATGGAGTGGCGCACGCCCTCGCACGTGCTGAACGTGTTGGTCCCTTGCAGGTCGACCCTGGAGGTAAACCCCGAGTCGGGCATGAGCTCGACGCCGGGGCTGGTGGGCGCGGTGCAGCGCCTCATGGTGAACGGGCACACGTTGGCGTCGCTGGGCGCGCTGGCCGCGCACCTACCGCACTACCGCGGCCCGCCCTGCGAGTCCGCGGACGCCTTGGCGGACGCCGCCTCCAACGGCCCCAACGCCACGGCCTCCTCGGTCTGCGCACACGGCGGTCTGTGCCTGCCGCTGCTCAACACCTTCGCCTGCCGGTGCCAGCCCGGCTTCACCGGCAGCCACTGCCATCAGCGTGAGTGGAGCCACCAGCTTTCGATATATTTCGGGGACTGGGGAGTATCATCTTCACGTGGTGATTCTCTGTATTTAGGTGACGTATCCGTCAACGGCACGCTGTCGCTGACGGCCAGGGCCGTCAAGTTCTCCGGGGACACGTTCCTCCACTTCCGGGGGCCCAAGCCGCCGCAACACAGGTAAGGGAATGACCAGCGGCTTGGCGTCTAGCTCTTCCCTCGCACGGTGGTGGTGTGCCCTAACTAGAACTAACCCTCTGCCTCGCCTGACTCGGCCTGACTAACCGCATGCTCTCTGCTACGCGTCCGCGAGCAGCGCCAACCTGACGGCCGTCTTGGCGGCCACCTTCAGCAACGGCTCGGCCGAAGTGGTGGACGCCAGCAGCTACGAGGAGCCCGACGAGGGCGCGGGGGAGGAGGAGTGGGAGGACGCGGAGGAGGGGGCGGGGGAGGGGGAAGTCGACGGGGGTGAGGAGGTGGTGGAGGACGAGGAGGACGGAGTCACTCCGGACGACTTCGACTGGTGAGTGACTGGCTGGGGCTTTACTAACTCGCTAACTTCCTAATGCTCTTCGCTCCGCCCTCTGCGAGACGCTTGCTCACGGCCACGGCCTTCCTCTGCACGCAGGCGGCGCGGCAAGCGGATCTCCAGGTACACGGTGGTGTTCCGCACGGCGTCGCAGGGCGGGCTGCTGCTGTGGGCGGGCAAGGGCCGCACGCTCCACGCCGACTACATGGCCGTCGCCATCGTGCAGGGCTACGCGCAGCTGTCCTTCAACCTGGGCAGCCAGCGGGGCATGCTCACCATCCAGTCAAAGGTACTGTCTTCACGAAACGTGCCCATCGGAAATGCGGTGAGTGTTTGGACCGCGCTCGCTGAATGTCCACTGTGATCCTTCAGGTCCACGTCAGTGACGGCCGGTGGCACACCTTGCACGTGTTCCGGCGGAAGCGGATGGGGCAGATCCGCGTGGACAACGAGGCCCCCGTCAGGGGCTTCTCGGACCCACGTGCCACGCTGCTCAACACGGGGCCCGGGCTGTGGCTCGGTGAGTACCAATCAGCAGCTGTTTTCCAATTTTTTGACACCGCCAAACGAATGAGACTGACTGCTGCTCTCCACAGGGGGAAGTCCGGCCCTGCCGCCGGGGCTGCCCGCGGCGTACTACCAGGGCTTCCACGGCTGTGTGCGCTCCGCGGTGGCGGACCGTGCCACGCTGGACCTGGCCAGCGCCACCCGGCCGCACCACCGCCAGCACCACCCGCACCACGCCACCCCCGCCCCCGCAGCCGCCCCCGGGACGGCCCCCGGAGGCGGCCTGGAGTTCTGCCACCACAGCGCCGAGCTGCCCTAAGACTGCATCGCCCCACCCCACCGAACCCCTTGCAACGCCCAACGCCTGCTTCCTGGCCCGCGGCTCAAGCCGGGCCTGCCCCCATGGTTGGACTGGACAACAAGGACAATAATTTATGTATGTGTGAGTGAGTGTGTGTGAGCGCGTGTGTGTGTCAGAGCGTGTGTGGCGGACTGATGACTGTGTGTAAATAGTGTTGAATGGAACTTTGGGCTCGAAAGTCGAGGCCAATGCTCGATGCGAGAGCCACCGGAACCGAAATGAACGTGGAGAGATCAATAGTTTTTATAGGTTTGTATTTTTATTGTAATTAAATTTGTAAGTATTGTATGTATGTATTGTATGTATGTATGTACGAATGTTGCGAATGTACATAAACCTGTGTAAGTATTTCAAATTTTTGTATCTATGTATCTATGTACAGAGCCGAGTGTAGGAGATCTTTTTCTACAATGACATAAATTGCCATCCATGACTGCTTTTTTTTCCTGTTTTTGTTTTTCTTAGTCAAACCTGAAATGATTCTAAAGTATAGGATCTTCATATCAGCAGAACTCCATAACATTACTTTAGGCCCCCTTCCTTTATGATAGTTGCTTTCAACAACTTACTAGAAGCTCATGGAAAAATTGAGCGATTTGTGAATTTTTTTGTTTGAAAGAAACCAAGCGCACACTGGGCCGAGTGCGTTGTTACAGGAAGTTCTACTGGAATAGGTGTTGTTTTGTTTGTGGTACAACAATGAGTTGGAGTGTCGTACAGACGACCACCAATTGCTCTGTTTGCAGAGAGTGTTGTGCTGTGCATCGCCAAATTATATAGATTGTATTGGCCTGATTCCGCCCAGAATAGAAATCATTTCTTAGTGAAAGTTATCCTTCATTGAAAGGCCAAGTTCAAAACTTGTGTTGTTTTTTAATTGTTGATCCTTTAATTATATTAACAAATTATGTAGAAAAAGTTTATAATTTTTAACAAAATATTGATGAAAGCAGTCAAACTAACAGTCGATTAATTCAGGAAAATTGCTGGTACTCCTTGTCTAAGACTGCTATTTTAAAGTCGTGCTCGGCGCATTATTGTTCTCTGTAAGTCCTGGACACTCAGTGTCCCAGAATTCTAGCTAAACATGCGAAAAATAACTGATTTTTTACGAATCTAGTGCATTTATTGTGTCCAAAGAAAAAAACTGTACTGCCCGGTATGTACCGATTTCATTTCATACACAGCATGCAGTTCTGACTGCCAAATATTAGCAAAATAAATAAAACTGCCTTTTCTTAAACAGTGTGCTCTTTCTTATTTTCCTTTTCCGAAACATGCCGAACACCACAAAGAAAGGGAAGTGCCACAGGCGTCACGGCCGCGCCTCAGAAATAGTCCCAGGGACTCGGCGCTCCGAACCGGCAAGCGGCCTGATAGCTGATAACGGTCGTGGAGGCCGCCAAGTTCGGGTTACTCGGCCCGGCGCGTGCATAGGCCGCAGGCGTTGGGGTCAACGGCGACGAAACGGTCTATTCTTGGCAGGAAGCCGAAGCCGGCGAGGACGTGCTGCACCTCGCCGCGGCCTCGGCAGCTTGGGCGCATTGCGCGGCGGACAGGCAGCCCGTCACAGGCCCGCCGTGGCCTGCAGCCCCGACGACAGTCCGCGACAGTCGCCCCCAAAAGTGGCGCCCGGGTCGGCGGCGGCACGGCGTGCAATGGCCGGCGCACGCGCGCCACCCGTGCGCCGGGTCGTGGCCGCGGCGCTTCCCCCGGGGCACAGTGGGCCAGAAGACCGGTGGAGGCGGCCAAAACTCTAGACGCGTTTTGAGCCCCAGAGTCGCTAAATGGGACTCGAGCCGATCGTGTGACCCCGACCCCACCAATGGATTGCTCTCCGAACGAGGAATCCATTGGTGGGGTCACACGTTCCATTCGAGTCCTGTTTAGCGACTCTGGAGCACAAAACGCGTCTAGAGTTTTGGCCGCCTCCACCTGTCTTCGGGCCCACTGTGCGGGGCCGGCGGCCTCGGCGTCGAGGGAAACCACCCCAGGTTCCACGCAAGGTCGCCTTGACGCGCACCCTCCGCCTGTACCAGTGCACTGCCACAATCGCTCGCTCGCGTCGTGCCAAAGTTTGCGCCAGCTGTTAAGACCTCTGCTCGGGGGAGGGGGAGGCAAACATGCACCGGGGAGGGGGGTGGGGAGTACGGTGAAGTGGCCTGCGACAAGCTCGCGCCTGCTTCGCCCTCTATTCATCTGAAGCAGTCGGGACCGGCGGTCGCCTTGCTCCCCTTTCTGCCCAACGCCCACTACCCCGGCCCACCCCAACCAACTCCCTCCCCTACGGTCCCGACGGTCCCACCCTAGCGGTGCCCCCAGCTCCAGCCATGGATTTCGCCCTCGCTGACCCCATGTCCTTCGCCAAGGACTTCCTCGCCGGCGGCGTGTCCGCGGCCGTGTCCAAGACCACCGTGGCGCCCATCGAGCGCGTCAAGCTGCTGCTGCAGGTCCAGCACATCTCCAAGCAGATCCCCCCCGAGCAGCGCTACAAGGGTAAGGGCTGGACGCCGGAGTCCCCGCCGCCGTGAGGCGCTCGGTGCCGCGTGCCGCGTGCGAGTGCCGTGACGAGGACGGTCTCCGTGACCTCCAGAGTGACCCTCTTCTCCTCCCTTCCTGCAGGCATGGTCGACTGCTTCGTCCGCATCCCCAAGGAACAAGGCTTCGCCAGCTACTGGCGCGGTAACCTCGCCAACGTCATCCGGTACTTCCCCACCCAGGCCCTCAACTTCGCCTTCAAGGACAAGTACAAGCAGATCTTCCTCGGCGGCGTCGACAAGAACACCCAGTTCGCCCGTTATTTTATCGGCAACCTGGCCTCCGGTGGCTTGGCTGGCGCATCCTCTCTCTGTGTTGTCTACCCCCTCGACTTCGCCCGAACCAGGTAAGCGAATGTCAACATTTGCGGATAGGACGCGCGCCTGGAAATGGACAGGACGCCGTTGCTCGACAGAATAAATAAATATGAGCCTCGCGATTTGGGTACCTCATCTACGGCCTCCCCTCCCCCTGCAACAGGTTGGCCGCCGACGTCGCCAAGCCCGGCGCCGGTCGCGAGTTCAATGGCATGGGTGACTGCATCAAGAAGATCATGAAGGCGGACGGAATCAAGGGCCTGTACCAGGGCTTCGGCGTGTCCGTCCAGGGCATCATCATCTACCGCGCCGCCTACTTCGGCTTCTTCGACACCGCCAAGGGCATGCTGCCCGACCCCAAGAAGACCCCGCTCGTCATCTCCTGGGCCATCGCACAGGTAAGGAGAACTGGGAAGGGGGCGCAGGCTAGGGACGACGACGAAGTGGGGGCCCCAGGGGCACTGGGGCAATGCATCGCACCGGACAATGACTTTTCCCGTGACGCCAGTTCAGTGCTGGTCCGGGGAAGAGGTTGTGTGCACGGGGTTGCCTGCCTTCCGGCGCAGGCTCAAAACATTCCAGTTGTTTTTGCCAGAAAAAGACAGTTCAAGGCCGAGATGGTGCCCGAATAGTGTCAGGAGTCTTGAGGGAGTGCTCCAGTACAACATGCTCAAATTTGGACCATTTTAAATATTTTGTCAAAAACGTTAAAAAACCATGATGTATAGGCTTAGCTTTTTTTCGACGAAAATGGTCGACCACCTCCGATTCGTCTGAAATTCATACGGAACGTTACTATGGGTCTAAGAAACAGATGCCCGGTGCCCAATGGTCTTTGACACATTTTATTCGGTGTTAAAATGGCTTTTTCCGTGACGCTAGTTGGGTTCTGGTGCGGTCAAGAGGCAGTGGACGATGGGTTGCCTACGTTTCCGGCGCATGAGGGGAACTCTTTTTCCTCTTCGTGAGTTTGACGCCGAACCGCCCTGAACTGTTTCCACGTGTTGCAGGCCGTCACCACCGTGGCCGGCATCGTCTCCTACCCCTTCGACACCGTGCGGCGGCGCATGATGATGCAGTCCGGCCGCTCCAAGGCCGACATCCTCTACAAGGGCACCATGCACTGCTGGGCCACCATCGCCAAGCAGGAGGGCACCGGCGCCTTCTTCAAGGGCGCCTTCTCCAACGTGCTGCGCGGCACAGGCGGCGCCTTCGTGCTCGTCCTCTACGACGAGCTCAAGGCCATGCTGGGCTAGACGCATCGTCCGACCCACCCTGGCCCCGGCCCCCACCGTCCTGTGATAACCAAAAGACCACCGCCGAGGATTTCCGCGCTGTTCGACCGCGCCACCGCCAAGCCTACCCAGACCGCGACCTCCTCCACCCACCCCGTCCCCAAGGTCCCCAAGGTCCGCAAGGTCCCCATGCAGGAGGAAGGACGAGTAGTCGCGAACATCGCGAGCCAGCCAACCCGCCACTTCTTCCTCCTCCTCCCTGGCTGGCGTAGGTTTGCACGTGCAGCACATAGTGGCATGCCAGTGGCAGTGGCTGCTCCCCTCGAGGCCGCTGACATGGCGGCCGCGGCCTGGTGCCGCTCGCAGTCTCGCACTCGCGGGCCGGACCAGACCAGGACGCCGTCGAAGCATGCGAAGCAATGCGAAGCATGGGCCGCGATCAACGACGCCCCGCCCGGAGGCAACCAAGACTCGCATCTCTGTTTCCACGCAGTCGGGTCCGATCGAAACCATGAACTCAATCACTAAACTGTGTGCGTGTATGTATGAACAACGATCAAAGAATCTGAATATTGTGGAAATTCTTATGATCAAAATATAACAAAACTCCAATATGAAAAGGCCTGTTTTGATTTCCCGACTGAAAGAAAGCACAGTTACAGTGAAAAAAGTTTATTACTTTGTTGTAGCCATAAACAAAAACATTAGAAACTCCAAAACCCCAAAGGGAAAAATACTGAAAAACTACTCTAAAAGAAAAGAAACTCATTGACGCCTTCTATACATAAATAAATTAGAATTCAGTACATAAATTAATCAGATTGTCATCTTTGGGGAAAGGAGAAAAACAATACAACAAGATGGTAATACACATTTTAAAAATATGATAACAGAGCACACACAGAACAAAACATGTGCATTGTGATCTGAAAAGGAACCCTGAAAATTGTTTTGGCATGCAATAGTGCGTAATATAAAAGATCACAATGTTGCTCTCCCACACCATACATGATAAGATATCTTCTACAAACTGAATAAAACTAAAATCACATTCACAATTGAGAAGCAAAATGCACATTGAGCAACAAGAGGCAGCATTCTTGTAACATGGCCTCCATACACAACAATTTTTTTTTCAGGGAGAAACTTTGATAAGAATTTCAATGCAATTGGTCACTGGCGTAATTATTGTGGTGATAAAAACCATAGCAAAAATAACTTTTAGGTACAGTCTGTTTCATCTTAAAAGTTATCTTTATTCTTTGTCAAATATGAACAAATAGACTTCAATTAACTAATAAACAGTTGTCATTTTAAGGTAACAGTGTTTAAGTAGAAATAAATATCATAACAAATTAAAGACTTAATGCTTGGAATACATAAATAATTAGTAACTCTCATTTAGATGGCTATGGCATAAATAAAGCTACACTTTTCTGTTATTTTTGTTGCATTTGTTTTCCCTAACATCCCTTGCAAATGATGCCGAATGCAGAGGTACACATTAGGAATAAAATTACATGGTAGATAACTGCTTCATAGCCGCGGTCAAGCGTTCTATTTCACCTTTGCTCTGATTTAACTTCTCAGAGTTAGCTTGACGAACTTCTGCAGGAACCTTAACTTCATAATCAGGAGCCACCATTGCTTGTTCCAGCTTGGTCACTTGCTGAGAGAGTGTTTCTTGTTTCTTCTGAAGCTTTTCCGTCTCCTTTGCTGGATCAATAAGACCCTGAGAGAAAAGTCACACAGTAAGAAACACCCGATATATTCAGCTTAGCCATATGAATCAGAAACAAACATATTCTACAAAATACTGACCTTGAGAAGAAGGTGGACCTCACACTTATCAGATGCTGTGAAAATAGCACATCCAGGAGGCGGTGCTGTCATCAATACAGAGCTGCAGTTACTTAAAGTGGCAATGACATCACAATATTTGCTGAGAGACTTCTCCAGGTTGGCATCAGAACACCGCAAAAAGGCTGGAGAAAAAGAAAAACAGGAAAGACATTGCAAATAATCCATCTCAGGGACTCTCATCTCAGGAAACAATTGAAATATTATTTTAAATACCTTCAGTTTTAGTTTTGTTGAGAAGAGAGTAGTCAGACCGAGCAGAACGGATAAGATGTACAATTTTCTGCATAAATTCAACTTCAGACTCAATGGCGGTATTTCTCCAAGGATACTGAAAAGGATGATGATCATTGTTATAATTGTATCTTTGAGATGTGACACACGCAAAATCAAAAATTCATTTCTTACCTGTTCAATATCAGGGTATGGAGCCACACAAATGCTGGGAACCTCGTTTGCCACTTTGGGCAGTCTCTGGAAGAGCTCTTCAGTGATGAATGGCATGAAAGGAGACAATAGTCGAAGGCCGGAGTGGAGGACAAAGTGAAGGGTGTTTTGTGCCGCTTTCTTCTTTGCTTCATCACTACTTTGGAAGACAGGCTTGAGATATTCCTAGAGGACATTGGAATGAAATTTGAAATACTGTACTTCCATTGGAGCACAATTGAAAATAATATAGGGCAAACAAAATATACGCACCAGGTACACATCACAAAGGTCGTAAAGCCACAAGTTGTAACAAGCTGAGGTAGCAACTGGAAATTCATAACTTTCAAAGGCTTTGTTGCAGCTTTCCACAGCTGCTGCAACTCGGCTCAACATCCACAGGTCCATGGGTGACTCTTTGCCAGTTTTCTGTAGACAAAAATTAAGACAAATATATTCAGTATGCACTAAATAAGAACTTCAAAATCATGCACTTTCTCAATATAAGGTTGAAGCATCAATTCAAAAAGCAAGAGCAAACAAGGAGGCAAACCATCAATTGGGATTCAACACATTACTACAAAGGGAGATCAAACCTACACAAAAACAAAAATCTTTCACAACTTACAAAAAGAAACCTTAAAAAAAAACTCAAACAAAATTTGAACACACAGACACTATTATGTTCAAACAGATTTAAAATAATTCTAGAAAACAGGCTCATGCAGTGTTGAAGCACCTTCAACCCACCTGACATGAGTTTATAGAACTAGGAGCACCTCCACCACAACCGCCGCCACCACCACCACCATAAAAGAAACCTGGACCCTTCCAGCTTCTCCTTTCACTTGCGCTAAAACTGAGAATATGGCACTTCCACCGATTGAGGTGAACAAAGTCCTCGTCCACAACTTTATCGCTTAGAATTGCTAAAACATTGGAATCATCCTCTGTTGGCATAAAGCCATTGATATAACTACGTGATGAAAGGTGCTCATTTAAAGATGAAAAGTTTAGATCTTCACTTGCTGGAATCTTAGGAGGAGGGCTATCACAATTGTTATTATTCTGTAAACTTACAGCAATCATCTCAGCATGAGAGATAGGAACAAAGCCGTCTCCAAGGTATGTCATTGCAAACTTGGTAGCATTCCAGATTTTGTTACAGAAGAATCGGTAACCTTGTACACGAAGGATGTCTAAGTTAATGTCACGACCTGAGAACAAGACAAATGTTTCAATTAATTATGTTCATGTGCAGTATTTAATAAGTCACCTCACCTTTCTTGAGTAAAATATCCTGTAACTTACCTTGTGACATGTAGGAGCAGAGAGCAAAACGTAGAGCATCGGTACCACATTCAGGAATACCAGTGGGGAAATCTTGCTTCTGACCTTGCTTGGCACGTTCAATTTCCTTCTCATCTAAGTTGCTATCAAGCAGTTGCAAGTGTAATTTCTAGAAACAGACATAAGCAACCACATAGTATGGGTTCATAACAATCTAACAATACATAGATTGTGCCAACAAGAATCACTTACCTCAAGCTCAATTCCACAGATCACATCAATGGGATCAATCACATTGCCAAGAGACTTGCTCATTTTCCTACCATGAGCATCACGGACCATAGGATGCAAGTACACCTCCCTAGAGAGTCAAACATTTTAAGAGGAAACCTCATAAACTAAAAACAATTTTACTGTGGACATCCAACAACCAACAAAATACATTACCTGAATGGTAATTTTCCCAGCAACCTTTGACCCATAAACACCATCCTGGCAACCCAGAAGAACAGGATGTCATGACCTGTCTCAAGGAGCGATCCAGGATAGAATACGCGTAAGTCCTCTGTGTTGTCTGGCCAGCCAAAGATAGAGAATGGGAACAGAGCGGAAGAAAACCAAGTGTCCAGTACATCACTGTCCTGACGAAGCTTTATTTTGGATGCTTCGATGTTGAACTTCTTGGCAGCCTTGGCTCTTGCCTCCTCTTCAGTACGCCCACTGACCCAATACTCATTATCAATTTCCTGCAAAAATCAAAAGCATAAATAAGAAATTGAAAAAAAGTAAAATAAACAAAAGAAGAGGACAAAAAAACGCTTAAATAACACAGGTGTAAATGGGATCAGGATTTTCTGATCATTTACCCATTTTTCTGATAAAATTTGGGATTTTCTGATCATTGGCGTACTATCAGAAAAATTGGCATCAGAATTGCAAGAATTTCTGATAACTGTGAAATGATCAGAGAAAAAGTCTGATCGCTAATTATTGATCAGGGAAAATTTCTGATCCGAAAAGTGATCAGACAGTGATCAGAACAGAGTCATCAGAAAACATAGACATTCTGATAACATGCAAAACTATCAGAAAATCGTGATGTCTCAAAAATCTAGATGCCTGTAAAACAGAAAGTTTTCGGAATTTTGGTTTCAAATTTGGTGAGCGGTATGTTCGCGACATTTGGCTAGGGCATTTTCAAGGTCATGAAATTTAGACCATATCTTCTGGCATTTTGAGAGCTGATGGCGAGCTAGCGTGAAACGGATTGCAGAATTGGATCGGACTCAGTTTTGACCCCCTAGAGCCGTTTGCCTCATCTCCGTACTTTCATGACCGTGAAAATATCCTGAGTCAGATATCGTTACATTTCTGATAATACAATTTCTGATTCTACTCCAGTGGTGATCAGACCCGAGGTGATCAGAGCCACGCTGATCAGAAACGTGATCAGGAATCAGGAAAAAAAAACATCAGAAAAGGTGTTCGAAAAAGCATCAGGTTTTTTCCTGATCAATTTTCTGATCCAGAAAGTGATCAGCGCTAGGTGATCAGAAAATCCTGATCCCATTTACACCTGTGAATAAATTGGAACCAATACTAAGTGTAAGCATCTACCAGACAACAAAACACTCTCTAGATTGAAGCTAAGTAAAAACAGCATAACTGAAGTAAATACATAAAAAATCCTAAGAAAAACATCTTAGAAATGTGTTGTGATAAATATAATACAAGCATTAAAACTGAGAAATCAATTTACAGAAACAGCACTCTATAAGACTTTGGATATGCTTGAGATGGATGAAACCCTCTCTTTTACCTCGGAGCCAGGCTTTGGCCCATCATCATCATTACTAGGCCCTTTCCTGCTTCGTTTACGCTTTTTGCGCTGCATGTAACAGGTCACACCAAATATAGTTAAAGACAGGAATAACTATTAATTTAGCACTATGAATAAACCCTATCTTTTTCACTGTGAACAAAAAAGGGGTACTTACACTGCCTTGCTTGAATGAGGAATCATCAACCGTCACGAAGTAAGCCGGAATTCTGTGTCCCCACCACAACTGACGTGACAAGCACCAATCCCTGCAAAACATTTAATGAATTGGAGCTTTTATGGACCTAGCACCAATGTAAAGAAATTTTGGGGTAGTGTGACATGATTTGAAATAATTACCTTATACCTTCCATCCAATGGAACCAAATCTTGTTTTGTTGCTCAGGAATGATTTTCAACTCCCCTGAATTCACAACATCAATAGCTTTCTTTGCCATATCATCACACTTCAGATACCTGCAAACCACCAAACAAATTTCAAATCAAGGACAGTTTTTTGAAGGCTGACGACTGTGATCACCATTTCTTGCTTCCTATAGCATCATTACCATTGTGGCTTGATGAGAGGCTCAACAACATCTTTCGAACGGCTGCAAATCGGCACCACCATGGGGTTATCAACAGTATCTTTGTAGAGACTAAGTTCTTTCAATTTCGCTACAACTGCTTTTCGAGCTTCAAAGCGTTTCATTCCCTAGAGAACAAGTACAGGTGAGGATAAAATAATTAATCGGGTAAAAAAAAAAAAAATCACAAATTCCATTTAGTCTATTTAACATAAATACCTTGAACTCCCCACAGTCTCCAGTGATATTGCCATCCTCATCAATGATGTTGATGAATGGCAGATTGTGTCTCTTTCCAATTTCATAATCATTGTGATCATGAGCAGGGGTAATCTTCACAGCACCTACAGATTTGGAACAGTTAAAAATTCAGTCAATACCAAAACTAGCACAAAATGCTGATCTGATCAGGTATGAGAGCATTACACACCTGTGCCAAATTCACGGTCCACATAAGTATCACAGATAATGGGAATTTTGCGGTCACAGAAGGGGTGAGAGATCATTTTGCCATGAAGATGTTTGTATCTTGGATCCTCTGGGTGAACAGCAACGGCAGTGTCACCGAGCATTGTTTCCACTCGAGTAGTGGCCACAATGATCTCATCTGACGAATCTTCCACTTTGTATGCAAATGAAACAATCACACCAAACTCTACTTTATCCTTGTAGCCAGGGATGGAAAGGAAAGTTCTACCAGGAAGTTCAGTTTTGTCCACCTTTACATAATGCAAATAAATCAAACAGAAAATAAGACACCAGATAAGTATAATAAGGTCAATTATCTTAAAAAAAGATAATTTAGTGTTGCAGATAACACACCTCAATGTCCGAAATGGCGCTCTTAAGAGAGCAGGACCAATTTACAAGACGGTTGCTTCGGTAAATATCACCAGCATCATGAAGAACGACAAATGCCTCGGTGACAGCTCTTACTAACTTAGGGTCCATGGTAAAACAGGCACGATCCCAATCGAAAGAGGAGCCCAAGCTTTTTAGCTGCTCATAAATTCTGTTACCCTTCCTAGATGAAGAAAACAGTGTAAGTACAGTAAATTGGACATACAGCATCAATTCTGTTACTGAAAGGAGGACAAACACATACTCATTCTTCCACTCCCAAACTTTTTCGATGAACTTCTCACGTCCAATATCATGCCTGTTTTTCTTTTCTTCCCTCCAAAGCTTTTTCTCAACCACAACTTGAGTAGCAATACCAGCATGGTCACATCCTGGGTTCCACAAAGTGGTACGACCTTTCATGCGGTGCCTAGAAGAAATCAAACTCTGTTTTATCCATGTCACTGAGCCATTACTTGTAACAAGGTGTTATTGACTTGAGGCAACATATTCTCACCATCGAGTGATTGCATCTTGGACAGCGTTAGTAAGTGCATGACCCAAATGAAGAGAACCAGTTACATTTGGAGGAGGAATGACCATCACAAACTTTCCCTTGGGATTTTCTTCAGATATGGATTTTCGCTGCAATAACAAAAATGCATATAGAGTTGCAAGAGTATTTTAATCAGTAATCGGCACAAATTGTATAAATCATAATGCTGGTTAACTTACTCCATATTCGGGCTTGAAAAATCCTTGCTTCTCCCACCAGCTGTACCATGCTGCTTCCACGTACTTTGGGCTGTAAGAGTCTGGCATGGGTATGTTGACATCCTTCTTCTCCCCGGGGGCAGTTGCAGCGGTGTATACGGCAGCCTCTTTAACCTCCTTCTTCTTCTCCTTTTTCTGTAACGAGGGAAGTAAAACAACTCAATATTTGTCTACCTGAAGCAACACATTTTTATTAACAATGAGGAGAATGAACGAATTCTCACTGACACTTTTGAAAGAGACAACAAAACCTCAAATGACCTGACATTGTGTATTCTTGAATGAAACAACCACAAATACGGTTACGAAAATGTGTGTTACATACATTTCGAGCGTATACCGTACAAACCATACAACAGTCCATCCATGACTTCACTGTCACATCACCATCACCATGACCTGATGCAACATTCCATAACCTTTCATACGTCAGGTAGCGCGCGGGCAACAAATCACAACGATTGATAGTACAGCCGTGTGAAACTCACCTCTTTTTTCTCCTCGTTTGGCTTGACAGCAGCTAATTTGTCCTGCTTTTGCTTCAGCTTCTCAAGTTTTGCTAATTTTTGAGCTTCCTTCGCCAGCTGTTTGGCTGACTTCTCCGGGACAGCTCCGTCAACCGGCTGAGCGGCCGGCGCGTCCGCTTCCTTGGCACTCATTTTCACAAAGTTTTAGAGTTAAAGTCTTCTTTTCAAGCGAGCGTTTCAATGCAGACCTGTGTTGATGCAAACTATTGATTAACTCCCGGTATTCGGTACTGCGCGACGATAACCCACCACGCTGCACCGATGCGTCGGCTGCAAGGGATTCGGCCTCAGTGATTATAGATCGACGTTCAGGATACAGAGGTGGTGCGAGAGCAGTATGAGAAGTTTACGAATGACTCAGTTGAGGCAAATTTTGCTCTGATATATTTTTTCAAACAGATATTTAGGAATGAAAAAAATAAAGATGAAGAAACTTGATCTGACTTGATGGTTTGGATTGCAAATTGCTGAAGAACTGAAAGAAAGAGAAAGAAATCCTAAAGAAAACAAATATATGACAATTTTAGCATAGTCTCACACAACGTGAACCAACTGCAATGCTGATCTATCCTTTCCTTTTTGTTTCTGTCCTTGTTCACCACATGCTTTGCCCAGAACGTCAACACGTTGTTGTGTTTGGTTAGGTGTTTCTTTAAATGAAAGTATAGTGTTATAAAGTTTATTGAAGTTTGTCGTTTAATTTACACTGAGGCAATGGGAAAGAATAAGAAGGGTCCCAAAAAGGGCCTATCAGATGCTCGGAAAAAAGCAGCACCCCCTAAAGCCTTGAATCCCTTTGAAATTCATGTGAACAGACAGAAGTTTGAGGTTTTAGGAAGGAAATTAAAAGCTGATCGAGGATTACCTGGTGTAGCACGTGCCAAAGCATTGAAAAAGGTACCCGTTTTGTGTATATATTTGATTCTAAGTTCTCTGGGACCTTGGAATTCAGGTTTCATTGGGTTGCAAGTTCGAAACGCTGAATATGATTTGGAATGTTCGCTTCTGGTTTTCCCCTCTGATTGTTTTGTTTGCTGATACTGTTGTAATCTTTTGTTTTCACTAGCGTAAAGCTACTCTCCTTCAAGAATATAAACTTAAAGACAAGAGCAACAAATTTCTTGACCGTCGTATAGGGGAAAGCAATTCTGGTATGACCGCCGAAGATAAGATGACTGCCAGGTTTACAGCGGAGCGAATGAGGTCGCAGAGCAGGGTGAGTGATGGCACCATCTATTTGGAAGCCCTACGAAAGATTATTTTCACTAGTTATTGTTTGTCATCCCATTTTACAATTTTATTTTTCTGTTTCTAGAAAGCCATGTACAACCTTGCTGATGATGAAGTTCTGACTCACAGAGGTCAAACTCTCAATGAAATTGAAAAGTTTGATGATCCCAGAAGCGACGATGAAGATGATGAAAATGATTCATTTCAGCCAAGTGGAAATCTTGATGGTAATGCCTTACCAAACACATTCTTCAACATTATTTGAATTATACTGTGTTGTTTACCTTTTTGGGGTATGGTTTCAGCTAAATTTGTGCGAGAAGCTCACTTTGGTGGGGGACTTTTGTCTCGTGTGAGTGAGGATGGGGCAGATAGCAGGAAAGATTTGATCGACAAACTTATATCAGAATCAAAGAAACGAAAAGCAGAGCAACAAAAAACAAAGGAACAAACACTAGATTTGACAGAGAAATTAGATTCAACTTGGAAAGACCTGTTACCTGTTATGACCTCTGCAGCAAAGGCATCAGAAGTTGAAAAACCAAAGCCTGATTCCTACGATACATTAATGAGGGAGTTGAAATTTGAGGCTCGAGGAAAGGTATGAATCTTTTAAAGTCTGCGGTCTCCTGCTATAGCTAAAGATGTTTTTTAATAATAATAATAACCATAATAATAATAATGTTTTTCAGCCATCTGATAAACTTAAAACTGTTGATGAAGTGGCACGAGAAGAGAAAGAGAAGTTAGAAGAATTAGAGGCTGCACGACTTCGACGTATGCAGGGCATTACTGAGCCATCAGAAAATGCAGCACGTAACCATCGTAGTGCTGATGACCTGGATGATAAGTATGTGATATATTTTTGACTTCTAGAAGTCAGTTTACTGTTTTCATCTATCAGCATATGTTAAGAACAAATTATTATTTCAGCTTTGCAATGGATCTTGATGAAGATGAAAATGAGAATGATTCTGATGAAAATGATACAGATGAGAAGAAAGGTTCAGAAATGGATGATGAGGGCTTGGAAAATAATGGCAGTGATGAAGATGAAGAGGGTGAAGGGGGAAGTGATGATGATGAAAGTGGTGATGATGAAGATGATTTGGAAGATCTTAAATATGACTCTAGTGATGAAGAAAATGCCAAAGATAACATTTCTCTAGCAGATGAAGATGGTGATGATGGTAATGACAGTGATGAAGTCACCGATGATGATGACGATGATGATGACAGTGATGAAGTCATTGAGCCTAAGGGAAAAAAGCAAAAATCACTCTTTCATATTGGATCTGTTACTGACAAGAAAGGCATGGAATCTAAACAAAGTAAGTGTCAGGAACATTATTTTCTTTTATTCCATAAAATTTTTGACTAGTGTTATATAATTTTCTTTGTCTCTTCCCAGGTCCTAGTACTTCTAACGGGGCAAGTTATAAGGTTGACAAGGCTGAAGCTATAAGAGAGGACTTAAGGAAACGTAAAAAATTAATGGAGGCTGCAAGGAAAGAGTTACCTTACACATTTGAAGGTATTATTTCCCTGTTTTCTTTACACCTAATATCATCCATTAAATTATTAATTCATAATGTTGTTAGTTATTCATAAATTTATTTCTTCTCTCAGTTCCAAGTGCATATGAAGAGCTTCGGATAGCTTTAGCAGGACGTTCGCCTGATTTTCAAGGTGTAATTGTTGAAAGAATGATCAAGTGTACACACCCTAGTTTGGGAAGTGGAAATAAAGAAAAATTGGCTCATCTGTTCACACTTCTCATGCAACATTTGCATGACGCTGGTGCGGCTGATGAAGATGAAAATGTATGTTTTGCTTTTCATTTGTTGGATTTCTGTATGAATACTGTACCATCTCAATGAACTTTATTTGCTCATTTAACTTGATTTTTATCATCTTAGGTTTGCTGGGCAGTTTTGGACAGACTAGCACCGTCACTCTTTGATATAACTCAGTGGTGTCCTAATGAAATTGCTCAGTGTCTTAGGCATGTAATACAAGAGAAACAGCAAGAATATCGCAGCAGTAAGAAAAAGTTCCCAGGAGTAGAAACTGTAAGCTTGATTTTTCATTGAGCTTTCTTAAATGCTATTCTCTCCTATGATTATTTATGCAGAGTACTAATGTGACTGATCTTTTCCCCAGATGTTATATTTCAAGTTGATATCCCTCTTGTTTCCCACATCTGACTTCAGGCATCCTGTAGTTACACCTGCATTGGTTTTCATGGGTCAGATATTATCTAAGTGTCGATTGGAAACTCGCCAAGATGTGGCAAGAGGATTGTTACTAGTCTCACTTTTCCTTGAAGTATGTTATCATTAAATATGACAAACGAAACCAGGAAGCCAACAGTATAATATTGTCTAATTTGTGCTCTTTTTTATATTTCAGTACACATCCTTATCAAATCGTTTCTCCCCCGAATCTGTAAATTTCCTTCGAAATATACTATATCTGTGTTCTAAGTTCCCCTCCACCCTGAAGATTACCAGCAGAGCCAAGCTTCCTGAAGTCCGATGTATTCCTCCTCTCAGGCTTCTGCCTCAGCCCTCTCTGTCATTGCGGCCAGCAATGGATGACAAATCTTCCAAGTATGTTTGCACATCTTGCAGCTAATTCTATAGTAATTTTGTCATGTTTTGACCTTCCATTTTTCTCTTTTCCAGGACGTGTGACCCTGATGACAGATTAAAAGCAAGTGATTTAATTGGTAAAGCACCAGTAGATGATGAGTTTTGTTTAACCACATTACTTACTTCATTAAGAATGTTATCAGTGATGATATCGCAACTAACTTCTCAACCTGCCTGTAGACACATTTTTAGCCCCTTCACCCCTCTTCTAGAAAGTTTAATAGAGGTAAGAAAATATCTATGCGCGCATATGTTGTGTTTCTGATTACCTATTCCACACAATCAAAATTGTCTTATCTCTGATTTTCTATGTTGTTTTAGGAAAAGTGGGTTCCACAGAAAGTAAAGGAAGAAATCAAGAAGGTGCAGGAACTACTACTAGCAGTGAAGAATACAAGTCTCAAACTGATAGCAGCCGCTCCAAAACGGCCGACGCCGCTTAAGCTCTTTGAGCCAAAATTAGAGCATGTGTATGTGTCTTTCTTTTACTCTTGTTTCAAAACTGTGTTCTTCTTTAATGAACAATAATAACATAATTACCTTTAACTATCATTAGATATGCTGATGGGAAGCAGCGGCGTCCTATGTCAAAAGAGAAACAAGAAAGTCAGAAGCTTCTTCATCGTTACAAGAAAGAAAGAAAGGGTGCTCTACGAGAAATTCGCAAGGATCGTGATTTCCTGTCTAAGATTAGGATGAAGCAACAACTGAAAAGGTGAGATTTCTACGTATTTTCAAAAATTTCTGACTGCATGGTTTATTTTAATATGCATTTAGCTCGTTATTAAACAAAACGTTTTTCCAATTTTCAGTGATGTTGAACGTAAAGAAAAGGTCAAACGAATTTTCAGCGAAGCCTCTATCCAACAGGGTGAAATTCGGAAGTTCTCAAAGAAAAAGTGAAAAGCTAAATGGTTTTTCAAATGATATGAAATGTCTATGTTTTGTTAAAATGAAGTATATGACAAATCACATAGTGCCAAGCTGCATATTGTTAGACGTAATCAGTTTATTAATAAAAGAAAGAAAAGAGATACCAGCATCAGACGTACTTATTTGAAAATACTAGAGCCTCCGCAGGTGCAGCACAGCTGGCAGGGCTTTCCAGCCAGCCCAGGCCTTGGGGTCTGGCGGGCCTGCCGGGCCGAGGGCTGTTAGAACCACTGCCACTTACCTTGCCATATATAGATGGCGCACCCCTACCCTGACCCCCCACCCCCGTACCCCCCTCGGTCGTAAACCTGGGGATATTGCGCGTGCAGTGCGCGTAAAACCGCTGAGAATCTGCAGCTGCGGCGACGCCCGGCGCAGCGAAGCAGTGAAGCCACGGTGAAGCCGACGCCGTCGGGCTGGCTCGGGCTGGCTCGGCCTCGGACGGAGGAGGGCCCGTGACGTGACGGCGTGACTGCCAACCCCGCCGGGCCCGCCGCCTCGCCTCGCCTTGCCTCGCGTCGCCTCGCGTTGGCATTGGCAATCCAATGGGACTCAGGTAGACACGCTTGACGTCTACGTGACCGGGCTGGGTGGCGCGGCGCACAGGACGCACAGGGTGCCGCGCGGCGCCCCGGGAGTGAGAAAGGGACGCGTCGGAGCGACGGCGGGGTCGCAGCGCCCACCCTGGCCGGGAGTCGCACCACGTCGAAAACAATGGTTGGAATAGTTGCGCGAAAAGGGAGTCCGTCGGACGCCGTCAAACACCATACGCCAGCCGGCGGCTGTCTTCGGATTAGTCGAAGCCCCGTAGGCAGCTGTCTCAGCCGGGCTGCCTATACCATGACTTCGTAAGGCGCCTTAGCGCCTGGAGAGCAGGCAGCACGCAGGCAGCTCTGTCAGCCGGGCTGCCTACCCTGACTTCGTAAGGCGCCTTAGCGCCTGGAGAGCAGGCAGCACGCAGGCAGCTCTGTCAGCCGGGCTGCCTACCCTGACTTCGTAAGGCGCCTTAGCGCCTGGAGCACGCAGGCAGCTCTGTCAGCCGGGCTGCCTACCCTGACTTCGTAAGGCGCCTTGCCCTGGCCAATCAGGCGGGCATTTCAGCCGCTTTCCCCCACCCACAGGAAAAAGCTTTGTGTGAAATGTAGTCCTGTAGTAAGGGGCCATGGAGGATAGGTTGGACCGGCCCGCAGCATTTTCCCAGCGCAGGGACCGCCGAACTGCAGAAAGGAGCGGGCTGTGGTTGGTACTCGTGGACCGGCCCGCACGCTGCCGCGCTGCCGCACGAGACGCGGCGTCCCGGGGGAAGTCCCGGGGGGAAGTCCCCGATCTGACCTGACCAGGACCGCCAAGTGCACTCCGTGCTGCGAGGGCTGGGCTCGGCGCGACGCAGTTCTCTTTCTTCCCGGCGAGTCCCGCGGGAACAGCCGCGGCCTCCACGGCAGGTGTGTCGCCGACTCGCCGGCCGCGATTCTATATTCTTTTCGGTCCATGCCGCGCCACGCCGCTCTGTGTGTTTTTCTTGAATAAGGCGCCGCACTGCGCGAGGTTGGCCGCCCTGCCCCGCTGCGCTTTTCTCGTTTTTTTTGCTCTTTCACTCTCTCAAGTCCAACTCCCTTACGCCGCTTTCTTGCATAAGAAAGGAAACTGTGGGTTCTGGTCTTGTTCCGCTACCCTCCCGTTCTTCCCCTTCTTCTTCTTCCTTCTTCATTCTTCCTCTTCCTTTTTCTTCCTCTTCCTCCCCCGCTCCCCCACTACAGGGGCGGCCGACAGAAAAATTCTTCCACAGGCGGTGACTTTTTTCCCTTCCCCGTGAGCCGGGCTGCCTGGCCGCAGAAAAAGGAAGCAGCTCCTCTGCGAGCCTGCTGGGCCTGCTGCCTGCAGACTGGTTCCGAGAGTCGCCCACCGCCGCTCGGTCTCTCTCGCGCTCGTGCGGCGTCGCGCACAGGTGCGAGAGAGACAGTGCGACGAGGACGACGACTCTCGGAACCAGTCTGCTGCTCTGCTTGCGTTTTATGGCAAAGTAGGTGGGAGTGGCGGGCTGGGCCTTGGGCTGCGCCGCACAGTAGTTATGCTTCATTATGTCGATGTGGTGCCGCCGGCTTGCCGCGGCCCGTGGCTGCGGCCCTTGGCTTTGGCTGCGGCCGCCGAGTTTGACAAAAGTGCTTGGAGTCGAAACTGCGGCGTCCGCGCGTCCGCGCTCGCCTCGGGCCTTCCTTCCGTCCGGCCGCTCCGGTTCCGGCCGAGCCATTGTGGTGGCCAGGGCCGCGGCAGGGCCTGGCAGGGCCACACACCACCATAGCCTCGCCACCAGGCCCGCCAGGCCCGCCAGGCCCGCCGCCACAGTCATAGTCCCAGAGTATTATTTGCAGCCTCCAAAGATGTCCCGCCGGCATATTTTTTCCTCTTTTCCTCCTCTCGAAAGGATCTCTTTCTCCGCATTCCAGTGTGGTGCTGCCGCTGCCGCCGCTGCCCACGCCAAAAGGCCGGCCGTAGCTCAACGTCGGGGGAGTTCCAGAAAACTCGGAGCAGTAGTTGGCCGAGTCTAAATTATCCAAAGGAGATGGAGCGACCGTGGTGCATGTGAGGTCGCCGTCGTGTGAAACATGCCCGCCTCCACCCTTGCGTCCTGGGCCCTGGCCGAGGCGACCACCGTCGCAAACAGGTTGATGGTGTCGAAGGACGCGACGGGCGAGACGAGCGGGAGAGCCACTGCGAGGCGCGCGAGGCGAGTGGTGAAGTAGGGCGGGCCCACAGGGTCGGGGCGCGACAATTTACTCACGCCGCCCGGGCGACGCCACGGCCGCCACGGCGTGCACACCGATCCCGGTGATACCCAACAAACAGATGGAAATATCTTGCAATTTTATGCAGGCGGGGCCGCGGGGCCGGCGCCATGCCCGCGCGCAGGACCGGACTGTCAATTTACACAAGTAGCGCGGCGGGGCGGGGCGGGGCGAGGCGGCACAGAGCGGCGGACTTGGGCCAAGTTTGCTCCACCCGCCTGCCAGGCAGGCCCTGCCCTGCCCCGCCCTGCCCCGCCCCGCCCCGCCCCGCCCGCCCCGCCCCGCCCCGCCCCGCCCCGCCCCGCCCCGCCCCGCCCCGCCGCGCCCCGCCGCCCCGCCCTTGCCCGCCCGCCGGCTGCGACTGGAGTCCAGAGACGGTGGAGACTACTTTGCTTCTGGCTGCGCCGGGCTGCGCCTTTGGCTCGTTGATGGAAAATACTTGATCCAGCAGCGCCGCCCCTGCGCCCCTGCGCCCCTGCATTCCACGCGCAAACTGTTAAGATTGGAAGTCACGACGCACAAGAAAAACAAATAACGGAACCCTGAGGGAGAGGGGGGGGGGCGTCTGAAATGAAGAAGAAGAAGGAGAAGAAGCAGCAGGATGCATGGCTGAACCAGGAAGACGACCCGAGGGGCAGCGGCCGCTGGCGGTACGGACGTACGGACGGCGCGGAGTGCAGCGAGGCGAGGAGGATCCGGCCGAACAACACGTCCGTCTAGGGTTCGCCAGGGAGCACACGAGTTGGGATATGGCCGGTACGTGGGGAGAGAGGGGAGGGGGAGGGGGGAGGTCAGGGGCAAACAGAGGCGGCAATGTCGGAGCCGCTGGAGTGTGTACTGGAGGAAGGTGCACGGTGGTGTCTCGGCGGCGTGGCCGAGGCGCCGAGGCGCCGGGGCGAGGCGTGTGTGGAAGATGGCGGCGGCGGCGCGCTGACGTCACGAGTCGGGCGGGGACGCCGGGACGTCACCTACACGGCGATATAAGGGCCCTGTGGGGACCGCTTTACGGGGCGAGGGCTGGGTGGGCTGGGGAGGGGGGTGGGAGGTCGCCCGCCACGCCGCTCACGCCGCCGGCCTTTTTTGTGCGTTTCTTCCAGCCAGCAGCAGCGCGACAGAGACAGCAGCGGCGGGGCCGGCAGCGCGAGGTCTGGGGGATGGCCCGGATGGCCCGGATGGCCGCCATGCCTGGCCACGCGGCTGGCCACGCCGCCATGGCCGGGTCATCAGCGTGGCCGGGCCATGGCAGGGCGGAGGGCGGCTGCCGCGGTGGGCCCTGGCTGGCTGGGCCGCGGGCTGCGAGGACCGAGCGCCACAGCTGCACACTGAGAGTCCCTTTCGTCGCTCTGTCTCTCTCGCACCTGGCTGGAACGCCCCATGAGTGCGAGAGAGACAGAGCGACGAAAGGGACTCTCGGAATCAGCCAGCTGCTGATAGATGGCTATTTGAGGATTGTTATTAACGACGTGGACTGGCTGCTCGTCGGCCTCGTCGGCCTCGTCGGCTCGTTACCCGGCCGGGCCGCTCAGCGCGCCAAGCCGATGCCGACAGCGGGTTTAAATGGAAAACAGAATCAAGCTGAGGGTCATGTTGATGCCCTCAGCGGAAAAACAAAGTTTACCACTGTAAAAGGAAAAGACAGGAGGAGGCGGTGCGGGCGTCGGGCGTTTTGCGGCGAGGCGGCGCAGTGCCTGCTGGAGGTGCGGCGTGGAAGGAGAGGAGAGAAAGAAAATTAGAAACGGGAGGAGAGGGCGGCGGGGAGGCGGCGGCGCCACCGTGGAGCAGACTCCACTCCTCGAGCACCAATTTCCTGCCGGCAACTGCCAAATCCTGGATAAATTGGCGTCCATAGCCCGGCCTCGGCTTGCCTGGCCGTAATCTCAGGCCTCATCGACGACCGCTGCCGCCCCCGCCCCGCCCCCGCCCCGCCCCCGCCCCGCCCCCGGACCCGGAGAGGCGGCGGGTTGAGTCCGCCGCACCACCTTGGCGGGGGTCTTGGCGTCCTCGCCCTCCCTCATGCGCGTTTGTTTCCTCACCCAGTGTCGCGGCCGCCCGCCGCCGCTTCTATAAATCAAGGCGCGGCTAACCCCCTCCAAATTACAAGCAAATCCAGGCGCTGAGCCCAGGCCAGGCGCCGCACCAGCTCGGCGTCCTCGTCCTCGGCGTGGGCTCGTCGGAATGTCGGCCGACTGTTTTCGTCCCGTTGGTGCGCCCCGTCGGCCGCGGGCAGGGCCGAGGGCGGACAGCCGCGTATTCTTATCACACAGTTGGGGCTTGGGGCCCACCCCGCCAGCCCCGGCCCCGGGGTGGTCCGCGAGCTCTACAAGGC